GCAGACAGTGTTCTACTCTCATAATCTCTGACTTTCCTGGAGGCAATACACAATTAGCTTAACCCAACATGTCAATGTTTAATAGGCCATCTTATCACTTGTATGTAAAATCAGATACTCTGTAGCAGTGTCCTTTTCATAATCATTTAGTTGCTGCTGCTGCAGACCGTCCACATTATTACCAATGCAGTTGAAATGGAAACTATATTTGTTGCTGATGTCTTTCTTAATGCTGTAGCAGTTCCGATTAAGAATGTGAATTTCACGGCCAAGTGGATCTTACTAAGAGACTGTTGGTGGTTGCTCTCTATGTTTGGTTTTAGCTGTATGTGGTTTATTGCATCATCAACTGGGTTATGTACACTCCTCCACCTGCCTTTTCACTAAATACTAAACTACAAAGACTAGACAGCAATTTATACATACATAAACAGGCTTTGGTTATGGGATGTACTGATGATTCTTGTTATTGCTAACCAATATAGCCAATCAAGATTAGCTGGGAAGACTGTCTTAAAGTGACACTAAATGTAGGAGCTAAATCTTAAAAATGCATTCAAGTACCTTAACTATGAACAGAAAATGTCTTATTTGTGTATTGATCGATCCACAAATCATCTCTGAATTTGTGCTGACACTGTCCTTTCTTCTGGAGGGTGGTTTCTTTTGTTCCCCATGGTCACTGTGTGTGTTATAAAATAGCCACCGCTCCAAGCTCGCTCCAGTGATGGACTGCAATCTCAATACAAATTAGTAAACTAAACAAGAGATTGTAGTCCATCACGGGAGCAAGCTTGGAGCAGTGGCTACTTTACAACATACACAGGGACTTTGGGAAACAAAAGTAGCCACCCTCCAGAAGGAAGAACAGTGAGTTGTAAAGTATCCACAGCTCCAAGCTTGCTCCCATGATGGACTATAACTTCAATGCAAATTAGTAAACTAACTGTGTAGTACAGAGTACTTAGTCTGACTCAACGCTAACAGTCTGCTGCCAAGGCAAGTACACTTTTAGTTTAATGTGGACGTTAAAGAACGAGAATACAGATTTATTTAAGTGGTAAACGAGTTTAAAGCATTTTCTTAAAAAAGTAGTCAGAGTTCAAAATGATACTTTAACATTAGGTTACATTATCTGCAGAGCCTTTCGTTCGTTAGAGAAACATTTTCCATCCAGCTATTTTGACGTTTTTCGTCACTATGGTCAAAATCAATGATTGATTTTAAAGTTGAAGGAAAGAAAGATCTTTGGTACAAAAGTTCTTTCAAAAATCTGCTAGTGCATGGCTACCTTTAGATTTGCTCTGGGTAACAATAAGTGAGCATTACACAGGAAGGACATTTGCTGTCAGTCTATAGGTGGAGTGAGCGGCAGAGAGACACTGATGTCATTTGAGGGTTCCACCTCTAGTACACAATGTCCTGGTGGCACAATTGCTGACATTTTACTGAATTGCCTTCTCTAGAGCCCATAGCAAATATTACCTAGTGTGGCACTGAAATTTGACACTAAGCTTGCACAGAAATGTAGTGCCTGGTATATCTACAATGCTGGTTGCAGAGTAATAATGTAAGGGTAATGTCAATTGAATAGGAGCAAAAATGGAAATCTTCAACCTTGATATGCATTTAGACATTTAGTATGCTAAAACAAAAGCATTTTTGTTTTACTTTAGAAAATACTTCTATAGTAAGATTAGAATACATACAGATTCAGTGTAGTGGTTCTCCAAAGGGTTCTAGACCAAATATGTTGGGAATATAGTTTTATGGATTGTCAATCCTTGAAGGAAGACATGTCTATTATACAAAAAAAGTATCTAGACCTAAGTCATGCCATTACAAAGCTCTCTATGAGTGAACTTAATTCACTCTTAAAACTCTGAACCCTTTGGTACCAGCTCTCTACATTTGTACTGAGCCCTGATTGGCACAGTCTTGCACCTGACCTGCGGTCAGGTGCAGGACTGTAGCCAATTGCCGCTTCGGACGGCGCAGTGCATTGTGGGATGTGCCGCGGTCGAACAGACCGCGGACATCCCATAATGTTCGGTGTTCGGCGAACGCTCGAACATGCTATGTTCGAGTCGAACATAGGTTCGACTCGAACGCGAAGCTCATCCCTACTAAGGACACCAATTTCACCTGTCATGCCCCTATGCATATGTATGTGCACCATATGTGCATATTTACTCTTAGAGTCAACAGACTTTTACTTGGTCGTTGGATGAATGTATCTGTGAATGAGTAGCCTTTCCCTATGTATCCACTGCACAGTTCTATTTTAGGGTTGCATTCCGAGGGGTTTGTAATTTTTTTTGTTTTGTAATTTATTAAAATAGATACCGTTAAAAAACTGTTAAATGTTATTTAAGAATAGAGTGATTGGATTCACATATTCTTCAAGCTACAGTATGCCAATAGCCAAGGGTGCAGAAAGGTAGGGAGTGCATTTACAATGTAAGCTGTATAGCACTCAGTATTCAACTTTTTAATGACAACTGCTTAGTGAAAAAAGTACTACAGGGTAGCAAAAAAATATGACTCTAAAACACCAAAACAGTATGTGAAATGCTTTTCTTTGCAATAATAAACACAAACATTACGTTTAGCACAGTTCAATTACTTCACTACTATGATGCTGAAACCTCTGCCATCAAACATATGAATGGCCACTTGTGTCAAAGACCCCCTGCACACGAGATAAAATAAAAATCTACCCTCATTTAAATCAGGTAACACATTTAAAGTGCTGCCACATGGGTTGCAATTTACAAAACTCGTCATTGGTATTGAAGTGCAAGCAGCTAAATAAGCAGTTGAACTACATGTATTTTTATTGTTTTACTTGCCTATGGATTTTTAATTATGTCCTGCCTGTCTACAGATTTGCAAACCTCTGCCACACTGAACAGCCAGGAACATCAGTCTTCTCACCCAATCAATTCCGGTCAATTTGATAGAGGTGAGAATTCATTATCTTGTGTATTCTAAAATTTTCTAAAGTAACAGTTCATACCATGCTCTGATCAATCACCAATGAGATTTGTGAAGTGTGTATGTGTGTCTTCAGACTTGCATTTAAAGAACTTAAATGCACAAAGATATGTGCAAAGGCTTGAGGAATAAGTAACCGTTTCATATTTTTCTCTTGCCCATGTCATGCCACAGGGTCTGTTAAGGTCACTAAAGTGAATGATGAATCACTTTATTAGATTTGATGTCTTTTTTAACCTTTCTAAAGGGAAATGGGTATGCCCAGGCTGTTAGAGAGTGGCTAATTTCAATATATATTATCTACAGAGGTATCAAAAAACATGTACTGATGAATAAGGAGTCATAGAACAGTTCTAATCATTTTAGGTGCATGAACATGATAGTTCCGGCCAGCCCAAGTTGTTTAATTAAGTTTTAAATAACATGACCTCTAGACAATAGCACCAGAAATTAGGTGGTATCATTTTGTGAAACTAAAAGAAAATCTTTAGAGCAGCACTCCGAGGCCAGAGCTGTGTTAACTGTGATGACCGCTCTTAATAAATACATCTGCCCAAGGAGAATAAGGTTACTAACTCATTTGAGATAGGTCACCAAGCAAATATCACATGATTTAGAGCACTGTTTAGGAAGCTACAATAATGCAGTTTACTCCAGCTCTTGAGCATTTTTCTAGGTCATTACACAGTATTAAATAAAAGCTAGCAACAGTTTAGCTTGTTGCACGTCACTACCAGCAAAAATGTTCAAGAGGAAATAGATTACAAGACACAGTATTATCTCTTTTGTATAAAATGAGTCTCAAGCGACTTAAACTGAAACTATAATCGTATATATACTTGTGTGTGTGTGTGTATGTATACATATATATGTATGTATTATATATATACATACAGTATATATATGTGTGTGTGTGTGTGTGTGTGTGTGTGTGTGCTTGAAAGCGATCAGTTTGCAGTAATGGTAAACCAATTTTATTAACATACAGTTGACTACTGAAGGGAGCCCTGCAACAATGTCAAATCAAAGAAAAATTATTTTCATGTAAAAAATACTCCAAACGTGCCCATCGAAAATACTGTATACTAATGCATTATGTGATATGGGAAATATACCTGCTTTCAGAATAATTTTTTAAATCAGGTCTAAACAGACACTACACTCAGGAGTTAAATCTTACAAATTCATTAAAATACCTTAGCTAGTAACAAAACTGAACTTTATTTGTGTATCACTCGGCTGCAGATCCTCAAATCCTCTCTAAATTGGTGTTGACACTGTCCTTTCTTCTGGAGGGTGGCTACTTTTGTCCCCCATGATCCCTGTGTGTGTTATAAAATAGCCACCGCTCCAAGCTCACTCTTATGATGGACTACAATCTCAATACAAATTAGTAAACTAAACGTGAGATTGTAGTCCATCATGGGAGCAAGCTTGGAGCGCTGACTACTTTACAACACACACAGGAACCATGGGGAACAAAAGTAGCCACCCTCCAGAAGAAAGAACAGTGTCAGCAAGAATTCAGAGATAATTTGAGGCCGAGTGATACACAAAATAAGATACATTTTTGTTAATAGGGTAATTGAATGCATTTTTTACATTTAACTCCACAGTTTAGTGTCACTTTAACCTATGTTTGCTGGTATGGTGCAAGGTAACACATCTGAATGGAGAAATAGGCACAATGCCAAAGTGTTACTGTAGCTAGAGTGGCAGATAAGCCAACCAGTCATATGGGGAACAGTGTGTTGCTCAATTCTCAAGTTAATGCAATATATCATTCCTTGTTTTAGAGCTGTACATTGAAGTATAAAAAAATATTGTTTCCACCAAGGCTTCCAAACACTCTCCCTATTTATTCCTGGCATAACAGAGATACTCACTGTCAAATAAAATTCCAAGTAAAAATGTCTTTAAGAAATATAAATATGAAGAATAATGCAATACCACCTCTTCAGAGTTAACTCCATTTTCAAAAAAGACATTGAAAAAACACTTACTTTATGTAGTATGGCACTTTATTTGGTGAAATTGCCCTCTCCCATGGACCCTGGACAGAAGCTGGAAGAGAAAGGTGTACGTTTTAGGTTACGTTGCAAGCAAAACGTGGGAGACATAATTCATCCTTGCAATTGCAGCTGTACACTTGACCAGACTCATATGAGTCTATTCACCCGAAAGTCTTTGAAGGTACAAAGATTATCCTACAGTGGTGAAATATCCTCTGTAATCTGAGTGAAGATAAATTTAGTCAAGTACAGTGATTAAACACATACCTCATCCTTACTACAAGAGTTAACTGGGAGATAAAAGTCTGGAAAAGAGCTATATCTTGTGCCGCAGCTCTCCCTTGTTTTCTGCTGTTTTTGTTTCATGATTTATTCTTCCAATTTCCCAATGTAACTTTGCCTGCTTTGTAGGCATTGGGTGACTGAGAAAGCTTACCTGGATATATTGCCCATTGAGAGCAGTTATATTAAACAACATAGCAACTCATGCATATGCTTAAATATTCTGGTTAATATTCAAACCAACATTTTTCATTCTAAAAGCACCCTGTTTGTTGTAGCAGAAATGAATTAAAATTCACATTTTACAGCTAATTATGCTTTTTTAAATCCTTTTTTTTCCCTAAATCCTCCATCGTAACCAGTGATTTGGAATACTAGTGATCTGTAAGGCCAAAATACAGTATGTGGGCATTGACAAAAATATTCTACTATGATCCAAGGGGCTTGTCTATAAAGAATTTGATGAGTGATTACTTTTGAGTTCTTACTTACAACACTTATAATGGACTACACATTTCTAAAATGGCACTAGTTTAGGCTCTGTAACCAGTGCTGTACCACTTTTCACCATTGGTAGTTACATTTGGGGACACTTTATTTGGGCACTGGTACTATCTGGTGAATTCTGAAGGGCATGAAGACCTATGGAGAGGACCAGAACGTTTCTCAACCAGCACTTAGGGATCAAGACAGAAATAATTGAATGAAGAATTAAACATGCAAAGTATTTCTGTATGCAGCACACAATTACATAGCAGATAGGAAGTAAGCCAGGCTTAATGAGTTTACAGTTAACAGACAGTTAAAAGTGAGAGAAACAACAAAACAGACAGCAATGGAGAATGGCTGTGGGGTGGGATAAACAACATTAAACCAGAAACATTTTTCATAGTTTTGTATTACGTTAATTGGTGAATAAGAAGACACTGAGAGCGATAAAAACCTTGTGGAGATTTTAACCTTATCCCAATCTACTAACATTAATGTTTTTACTGCTGTCTCTGACCCCATGGAGAGACTTCACATTATTTAATTTCCTTCTGACCCCATCACTGGAGCTAGAACTGAGGCAAACTTTACCAAGCAAGACACAGGCTGCTATAAAAACCTGACAGGGGTTTTAACCCTTTCCCCACGCTAAAACAATAAAATATTTTAGCTGGATTGGGTCTTCTAATAGGATTCCTCTAATAAGATTCATTGGTTCATATTCTTTCCAGAGGTGCGTCCCCACTGTTTACGGGGTTGTGCCTCTTGGGGTACAATGCACCATATCTAGTGGACATGTCCTAAAGCTCAGAAGCTGTGGATAGGGGTATATAATCTTCTCAGGCCCATTTTGAATTGTGAGCTGTCATGTGACCCATTGGAGGCCCTCTTATATAAGAATGTTTGGAACCTTATGACCCATTGCCATAAGCTGTCTCACTATTTCTTTTTTGCTACTAAACAGACAATTGCCAGTTCATGGTGCCCGCCTACTCTAAACTTTGGGGAAGTTAAGCAATGGATCACAGGTACAATGATCAATTAGATGCTTACAGCTGTCCTGGATAAATTATTTTAGATGCCATGGGTTTAATACCCTTTACAGAGCCTATAATTGGCCACACTGACCTGGGTGGACTCATTCCTAGTGTTCTCTTATTTCCCTACCCCCTTATCCTTTACTTCCTCCAATTTCTGTTTTCCTTTTCTAACTTTGTCTATTTTTCCTCCTTCTGGTTTCTCTGTATGTCTCCTTTTATGGGTTTTGTTTCCCTCTTTTCTGGACGGTATCCAGTTTGTGTGTTTGCTGTTGTCCTAGGTGGACTGTGTGGGTGTTAGAAGGATGTGGGGCGATGGGTGCTTCTGCAGTTATTGCCCCCCTCCACCACCACACTCAGCTCGGGTGGTGGAGCACCTTTGACTCTCGATTTTGGTTTACAGAATCGGGTGGGATGCATGTCTGTTCCATGACCCATTTCAGCTGTTTCATCTTAGGATTGTCCTGGATGGTTGGGTTTCCAGCCTGCCCAAATTTAACTATTGCTGGGTTACATGGATCTTTCTGCCATCCACTGTTGATGTGACTATTGCCATGCCTTGTCCCTCTGTATTACATTGAAAGTCTTGTTATCTTTGTTCACCACTTGTGAAAATAATTTATTTATGTTAAATAAAAGAAGCATTGGATCAGCCTTTTGCAAGGGCCCTTACTTAGATGTTATAGGGATGGGTACATTTTCAAAAACTAAACTGAAATATTTTCTAAATAATAAACACATTAAATGTAAAACTACAGTATAAGAGGTACATTAACTGGGCAGAGCGATACAAATAATTAAATAACCAAGATAATTAAAGTGGTTTGGTGGTCTTTAGAGGTTTTGTTTCCGGTCTAGAAAAATGACCTTCACTCAATTCTAGCTTGGTAGTTTAGGAGTATTTAAAAATGTTGTTTCACCTATACCTGCAGTCTTAAGACAGTGTGATTTGGCAAAAAGAACAAATTATAAAGTATTTTTTATTTTAATTCCAGAAATGTCCTGAATTTTATAACATTTGTTTGACACTGTCTGGAACATTTATAAAGAACACAAAGTGAATCTACGGGGACTGCACAAGGGTGAAATCAGGTATGCCAACAATGTCGTTTGAATTTAATGGAGACATTGATTTATTGCTTCCACCCTAGAGATGGCCTATATTATGGATGAAAGAGAAATTTGTCATCTGTTGGACTGTCACTGTCCTGAAGATGTGATAATAAACTTCACTTGTTTCTAGCCAAAGAAAGTGATTGACTGTTTGTCTGGGATGTGAATAAACAGAGTGGACAGTCAATGTAGAGAGCAATCCTGTGATTTATCAAGAGGTTTATTAAACTAGACAGCACAGCAGTGAGGTTATACCATGGCTTTTCAAAGCAGGACCCTAATGAAGTGTTTTGTCCCATCAATGGCAAATCCAGATTACCAATAACTTTGATTTAGTGTAGACATATTTGGATCTCAACCTGTACTGTGCATTCATTAGCCTAGTGTATCACTTTTCAAAGTTCAGTGATAAGCATTATATGCATGCTTTAGTAAGATGATTCCATATACCTAAATTAATCGTGCTAAGTCAGTACAATAGAGACTGCATTTTGTCTGTCATCTTTGATTTTGTAGTAAAACACCTGTCCTTGTGGAATCAATTATTTCAGATGCCACCGGGTTCAGTTACCATTAATACCTTATATCAACCAGACACAGCAATATCTGCATCTGAATTCCCTGGACTGCACAGCTGCCACTGACAACACTAGAGATTGGAGACATATGGCAGTTGTTAGGTAATGTATCACAGACCACTAATAAAACAATATGTTGGCTACAGGTGACTTGTATAGGCTTCATGCCCAAATGCTTGTTAATACAAAAATAGTTTACCCAACATATAGAAGAATATAAAAGCAAGGAATGCAGTTTTTCATCTCATTTACTTGTGATAGAATTCCAGGTTTGCTTGCAATAAATAGGACCTGTACTCACAACACAAGCTTATAAAAACACACTTTTACTGGTGAGTGGGCAGCATAAGGTGACAAGGCATATCCTTGGTTTAACGGTTTGCCCGTGTGAACTTTCACCAAAACTCACCACCAGTGCTCATGAACATCATGGGGGGCATCCCCACCTCCTCATGCCTAACACATGACAATATAGGTTATTCAGGTAGTGAGCATTGTTTTTGCGAGATGTGGGAGATGTGGCTGAAAAAACAATGAACAGGGCTGACAACACTTAGGGTAGACCACAAATATCTTGTGTGTTGTCAGCCTAATAAAGGTAATTAAGAGCTGAGTACATTTCTGGCAGATTAGCATGTATTTGTCTGTACTTACAGGGTCTTTAAATGGAGAAAACATAGGCAAATCTGCATTGCAGAGATGTACTGCATATGTCTTTTTTATTGTGCCCCGTTATATGCTTTAAAAAAGTAGATTTTATTATTTGAACATTACATTCTTAAGTGCTGGCTGCTTAAAATCTGATTTGATGCTTTACCGAGAACAACAGGTGAAAAGGCGCATGCTATTCCTTAAATAAGGAAGTATACTATCCAAGATTTATTATGCTATCCAATAGTTATTGTGCTTCAATCATGAAATAATAGGGTCTTTATTTCTACAGCTAGATATGCTGAATGGAAGGACAAGAGCAACTGAAGTGCAGGGCACTTACTCCAAACTTAAACCATATGCTATTTAGCTGTAGAAAGGTGAGAAGGCTTTAGGATTGGAATTGCTGGTTGGACAAGTGGGCTATTGTGGAGACGTATACATCTATTATTTGAAACTATTGTGTTCCCACCAAGTATCCAGGGATTGAAATTGAATAATTTTGTTACTATTTGTTAGGTTAAAAGATGTGCTTCAAAAGATGTGTTGCCACAAGGGTACCTTGAATAAGTAATACCACATATCAGATTTTCAGAGTTTTGATAGTGGATTTTAAATGGGTTAAATATTGAGTTTCAGTTATTTAAATAAGGTATTGTAATTATTTTTTTTGTTTTTTTTATGACTATATAGAGTTGTTCTTAATACTTTTTTGAAAGAAAAAAAAAAGAAAGGCAGCATAAAGAAATGGTGCATTTCTACTGCAAGCACGATCCACTTAATTGATAGAGCTGAAGTTGGAGCATGGTCTTTTATACTGCCAGATCATTATATCACAGAGTGGCTGCTCAGTATTTAAAGAACATACTGTACCTAATCTTGATTATTATTATGAAGGAGCC